CATTCTTCTCTGTTGAGAGTAGTGGGATCTGGATGGTTTGAATCTTTCTCATTAAAGATACACAAAATCCAGCATGTCCTGGTTCCAGTCAGGACAAGGTTTATTTTAGTAGTAACCAGAAGGGGGCATGGTCAGGACCCGAAGGTTATTTTATACCACCTGAGCAATTTGTCAGGTACAGGAGAAAGGGAATCTCTTCTGGGAAGAAGGAGCTTCTTCCAGCTGAGGAAATGTGGTGGAAGGAGACATCTGGTATTGTCAATTATTGCAGGGTTATTTTCCATGGTTTGTTTCCCTTTTTTTTATATCCTATGTAATTAGTATTTTTTGCTGTTTCCAGTAAATGGTTCTTGTCTCAATGTGTGATCTTTATCTTCTGTGTCTCCATTTCTCTGCAGCCCACCACGGGGGGTGGGGGTGGAAAGGGAGAGGGCAGTGAGGGAGCAGGTTTGGGTTTTTTCAGTAAGAATAATAAATTGGGGAATACAAATCCTAAACCATGACAGAAATCTTAGCATATATGCCTGCTTGCATGTTTTCTGTAGCAGTTTTTAGTATCTCAATTTTTATACCAAGCAAGCCTTAACTTGATGGGGATGAAAAAACTATGTCCTAATCATTGGCATAAGCTTTATTCCATATGCATATGTGAAAGAGAATATTTGTGCAATGCTGCAGCTGACAATGCAGCTGTGTGCAGACAGACCTTTGAAGCATCTGTTTGTTCTGCTACAAACTAGCAAGTGCTCTTTGCCGACTAGCTACTTTCTCAGTCGGTGCATGCATGGTTATGGTTAGCCCTGTCTTTAGAACCAGCGGCTGTGCCGGGTATGTCGGTCTCAGGCACTGGTATCAACTTCCACTTGAACACTGCATTAGCAGCAAATCAGATATGCTCACACTCAACACAGATGTAACTACACTTCTCATGTATGTACCAGTCACATCCAGGACATGTTATTTACCCCTGCATCGTCTCTGTGCTGGTCTGAGAGACACTACTAGGGCAGGAAAAGGAATTTGCTCACAGATTAATTCTGTTGAGTCTGTGAAGTAGTAAATCCACTGCCAGGTGCAAAACTGAGAGAAAAGCCCTCAGCGAACTCAGGAAACTTCAGAGCCTTTCTCCCAGAAACCACCATAAGCAGAAGACTGACCAGAAGCCCTGACTCACGCCCTGCATTTAGACCTGCAAACACAACTTGACTATGCTGCAGTTTGCAAAGGAAAAGCCAGGACAATGACCATGTATTGAAGCTAGGGAAGACTTATTCACTATTCACTAATGCTTCAGTTCACAGTGAAATAAATTACATCCTTAGATGCCTGTACTGTGTGTGTCTCACCTGCCTTCAGCTCAGATGAGGTTAATGCCTCTTAAACATGACCCAGGGCCAGCAGCCACTGCCTGGACTACTGGTGAAAGCTGCCAGTGTGGGAGACCTGTCTTACACCTGATGTGCATCATAATCATATGGCATTCAAGCATGCCTGCTGCATTGAGGGCTCATGAAACAGTCCTGCAGCACAGGAATGAAGGTAGGCACTGTGGATTGCCAGCCGTGCCTTAATACTGTGCTCAAAGAGCAATGGTCACAGCCTGGACTCAATCCCAGGGGTAATAGACAATGTGTATTAAAAACTCCAGCTCACTGCATTTACCTTTGGCTAGAGTGCTCACCTATAGGTGATTTGCAGCCAAATATTCCTGTGACTGTTGGCCTGTTGCAAGTTCTCCCCAAGTTTCAGAGGCCCAGGAGACATTTCCTGTAATTAGTCACAACACTCCTTATCCTTTTAGCTCTTCAAGGCCAGTCAGGGTAGCAGCGTGTAATATTTGGTCGCTTTTACTGCACACAAGGGTAATGGATACAACAGGGAGCTGGGAGACGCGTGGCTTAAAGAAACAAGGAAAGCCGAGAAACAGAAAGGGAGACGCCTCCTTGTAAGCAACAGCTGCTCTCCGTAGCTCACACGCCTTTTCCCAGCGCATCAGCCGTCTGCTCGAAATGGAGAAGACTTGCCGGCTTTACTAGGGCAGCCGCTCTTGTTTCTGCTTTTCACAGTCATTTAGCCGACACGTTTGTAAACACAAGTGTGTATTTTGTAAACATTCTGCGTTTCACAAAACAACTTTCACAAACAGCAGGTCTCTACCACCGCTGCCAGCAGCGCTCTCCGCAGGCCCAGCGGCCTCCCAGCAGGGCGGGGCCTGCCCGTCCCTCACTGCGCGGCCGCCGCAAAGCCTCGCGGGAGTTGAAGTTCCGCACGCTGCATTTTCCATGGCGGGCTCGTGGCTTGTGGACTCCCT